CTCTCTCTCTCTCTCTCTCTCTCTCTCTCTCTCTCTCTCTCTCTCTCTCTCTCTCTCTCTCTCTCTCCCCTCTATTTTATTTTATTTTTCTTCATCCCCATACAAAACCCGCAGGTCCTCTTCCTCCTCTTCTTCTCCTCCTCCTCGTCGCGTCTTCTTCTTCTTCTCTCCTCCTCCTCCTCCTTTCACCTTGTCCTTCTCCTCCTCCTCTCGTCTTCTTGTTCTTCTCTCCTCCTCATCCTCCACCTACTTTTGCCTTCTCCTTCTCTCCTCCTCTTCCTCGTCCTCCTTCATCGTCCTTTTTTTTGTCTTCCGTCGTCCCCATACAGTACCGGCAGGTCCTCCTCCTCCTCCTGCTCTCATCTTCTTCTTCTCTCCTCCTCCTCCTCCTCCTCCTCTCATCTTCTTCTTCTCCTCCTCCTCCTTTCGTCTTGTCCTCTTCCTCCTCCTTTCGTCTTGTCCTCCTCCTCCTCCTCCTCCTCCTCCTCCTCCTCCTCCTCTCGTCTTCTTCTTCTTCTCTCCTCCTCCTCCACCTACTTATTCTTCTCCTTCTCTCCTCCTCCTCCTCCTCCTCCTCAACCTCGTTCATCATCGTCTTTTTTTTTTCCGTCATCCACATACAGTACCGGCAGGTCCTCCTCCTCCTGCTGCTCCTCCTCCTCTCGTCTTCTTCTCCGTCTCTCCTCCTCCTCCTCCTCTCGTCTTCTTCTTCTCTCCTCCTCCTCCTCCTCCTCCTCCTCTCGTCTTATCCTTCTCTCCTCCTCTTCCTCCTCTCGTCTTCTTCTTCTTCTCTCCTCCCCCTCCTCCACCTACTAATTCTTCTCCTGCTCTCCTCCTCCTCTTCCTCCTTCTCGACCTCCGTCGTTGTCTTTTTTTTTCCGTCATCCACATACACTACCAGTAGGTCCTCCACCTCCTCTTCCTCCTCCTCCTCGGCCTCCTCCTTTCGTCTTGTCCTTCTCTCCTTCTCTCCTCCTCCTCCTCCTCCTCATCGTTCTTAGTTCGGTTTTTCTTCTTCTTCTCCTTTCTTCTCCTTTCTTCTTCTTCAACTTTCTTCTTCTTCTTCTTCTTCTTCTTCTTCTTCTTCTTCTTCCTCCTCCTCCTCCTCCTCCTCTCACCCTGTCTCTTATACACATCTAGATGTGTATAAGAGACAGCACACACACACACACACACACACACACGTGCGCGCGGGTGAGTTGGTGAAAGTCTGACGAAACAGTCTGGCACAGTCATGCTTTTTTAGTGGAGTTCACTCCATGTACTGGACCGCCATCACGTCCAGATTCCCTTGAGAAGAGCTGTGGTGTGCTGACACGAGATCAACTCTCTCTCTCTCTCTCTCTCTCTCTCTCTCTCTCTCTCTCTCTCTCTCTCTCTCTCTCTCTCTCTCTCTCTCTCTCTCT